GATACATTTGTCTATGTTGTGTCTCTTGTCCTGTAAAACGTGATTATTTCAGACCGAGTTTTGACAGAGCTGAGACCTGGTGACCTAGTGACCTGGTGACTCGAGCGATACATATTTTGGCCCATTCTTGTAAAGATTATTACACAATCTTGTACAGATTATTGCGCAATATTGTACAGATTATTACACAATCTTGTACAGATTATTGCACAATATTGTACATATTATTGCAAAATCTTGTACAGATTATTGCACAATCTTGTACATATTTGTGCACAATCTTGTACAGATTATTGCACAATCTTGTACAGATTATTGCACAATCTGGTACAGATTATTACACAATCTTGTACAGATTATTGCGCAATCTTGTACAGATTATTGCTTGCACAATCTTCTACAGATAATTGCACAATCTTGTACAGATTATTGCACAATCTTCTACAGATAATTGCACAATCTTGTACAGATTTTTGCCCACTCTTGTGCATATTATTGCTTAATCTTGTACAGATTATTGCCCAGTCTTGTTCTTCTAACCAAGAGGCCGTCTTCAAATCAACATGACAACATTAACATCCACAACAAAACTCTCCCTGACGCCATCTTCCAGCCAATTTTTTCAACACAAACGTATCAACTTCAACATTAACAACATAACACGGCTGCTCAACTCTGCCGGTGCATGTTGACACAATAGGGTAATTTCCCCCAATCGATTGCCTTCCGGTTAAGTCACTTGTGCTCTTTTGGTCGCCGCTCTCCACCGATACAGGAAGTTAAATCAAACAAAGACGTCACAACAAGACTGTAAATGACAAAAACTCAGCTGTTAAGTCATGACTGACGAGATTAACTAGAAATACCACACGGCTCACCTATGCACATACACACATATTATTTATAAATTATTTATTTACACGGCTCACACACACACACACGTCGTGGGTTGGGCTGTTGTTGACCCTTGTGTTGTGGTAAAGCTGGTCCAAAAAAGAAGCACACACATCAAACAGTGTATGGACCTGGTCGTAAAACTGTCCTCACTTAAAGCAAGAGTGTAGCCAGATCCCACCACCAGATTTTGTCATTCATTGCAGGGCTGTTGCAACTCTAGCAGACTTTACATCCATAAATCAGAGCTCGTTTGTGATTCTGAACATTTTCATCTTAATGTTTGTTGTGTTCGTCCGTTGACCCTCAAAGTCGTCTTCACAAGCTGGATGTCTGTCAACGAGTTCATAAACCCCAAGAAAAGGTGAACATCCAGATGACCCGTCTGAGTTTTTTTTTGTTGTTAATAAAATAAAAAGAGTAATAAATAGAGAAAATTAGAATTTATTTTTAGACATTTTAAATTTATGATATTAAAACGTGCTGTTACTATCTTCGCCCCCCCCCCAAATCGCCCACTCCCATTTATTATTATCTCATCCAATCAAACTTATTTAAATTTATGATATTAAAACGTGCCGTTACTATCTTTGCCCCCCCCCCCCCCAAATCGCCCACTCCCATTTATTATTATCTCATCCAATCAAACTTATTTTTATTTTTAAATGTATCTGATTCACTGAAGAAGGCTTTTCGCCGATACGTTTCTTTGCGTCGTGTTATCTTTTTCTCTTCAAACTATTTATTACCACGTTCCACTATAATCTGGCATCATCTCGAGGCATTCTGACAATTGCGTATTTTTAAATTGCCGCGACTATGGATGTGTCTTCGTCATCATCATCATCATCATCATTCCCTTAGTCTTTGGACCGTTGGGGCGCCGCAGATGACATGTGAACTATCCTCCTCCATTCGTCTCTGTCTTCTGCACGTCTCACAGCATCGCCTAGTTTCAGCCCCGTCCACTCTTTGATGTTGTCTTCCCATCTTTTTCTCTTTCTTTCTTTTCTTCTCCCTCCTCTTGTGGTGCCATGCATGATATCTTTTGCGAGCCCTTGTTTCCTTGTCACGTGGCCATACCATTGTAGTTTGCACTTTCTTGCAGTCACCATTAGGTCATCATACTGCCCAATTGCCTGACGAACCCTTTTTTCACTTGATCATTGGGAATATGGTCCCTATAGTGGATGCCAAGAATGCTTCTGAAACATCTCTATCGCCCTTATTTTCCTTTCAAGTTCAGCTGTTAATGTCCAGGATTCGCAGGTTCTGTTTCTGGTATCTTTTTCTGGTATATGTTTCTGGTATCTGTTTCTGAAATCTGTTTCTGGTATCTGTTTCTGGTAATGTTTAGTTGCTGGATCCATGTACTGGCATCTTTGCAACGGTTGGGGATATGATGTTGCTATTCTAACAGCTCTAACAGGCTTACAACTGGTTTATTTCTTGTTTTTTCTGAATCCTCAAATCATCATCTTTCTGTGCAGGCCCGTATGTTTTTCTGAGGATTTTCCTCTCCTGTTAACTTTCTTGAGGAGTGTCCATATCTCATTAACATACACCATTACTGGTCTAATGATAGCGACTTACATGGTTTTCTTTGCCTTCCCTTTATGCTTCCTAAGAGCTTTTCTAAGCCGAAATATTAACAGCTGCCTGGTTTTTTATCATCTCCGTCATGATTTCATTTAGCTCCTTTAAAATAATTCCTGGATATTTGAATATATCAACACTCAGCTCATCCAATGTACTTCCTAAATATTTGAATGTATCCACTCTAATTACCATCTGTTTATTTTGATTTTGCCATTTGCATGTTTGTTACGTTTCATTGCCATTACATCGTCTTCGCTACATTGACCTCTAACCCAGCCTTAACCAATGGATAGTCGAGTTATCCAATGACAGGCGTTCAATGAACACGAGTCATGTTCATTGAACGCCTGTCATTAGAAAAGAAACAATACAGCTACTGCCAGCTAATTATTATATACAGATCCATTTTGACCTGTTCAATACTTTTAAATTCCAGGATAATTTTACCCTCAAATCAACTCAAAATTTATTTAAACATAAGAAATGGGATAACATGAAAAAAAATGTGACAGTGACAGAGATTAGGTACAAAAGTTTGACAGTGACAGAGATTAGGTACACAATTTAGGCAGGCAACGTTATTTCCAACAACAAAAATTCGAGATCACCCAGGTAGGGTTAACTCCATTCGTATATTTAATATAATTTTATAAATTTATTATATTTATACATTAAAAAAATATGTGCTAAACTTGTTTTGTTTTTTTAAATTCGCTGTTTTTTCATTTTTTTATTTATTCTTTTTTATCCGTTTTTCGTAACTGATGAGGACAAAAAGTTTGTCTTGATTTCATTGGTTAAAACGTGGGTGGCAAAAGGTAACTCTTGTCAAGAGATTTGGAACAGCTCAGTCATCAATTTTGAACTCACTAAGATTTCGCCCCTTGATCACACATAACTCTTTTAACAACAAAAAAGACAATCAACATCATACACTGTAGTTCACGAATACATGATTTCATCGATGAGCGGTTGAACATTCATTGTTTAGCTGGCCGATGTTCTTGTCATACTTTAAAGACTGTTTGGGGGGATAGCGAGAAAACAAGGGCCTCAGACCATTTCGATTTCGCATTAATGAAGGGCGAAGGTCTGATCAAAATTTCCATACAATAGGTGTTCCAATAACTTATGGTGTCATAGCATCTTATGTATAGCTTGCAGCTGGGTGGACTGATTGTGTAAATATTAATCTTTTTTATGTTTGTTTACAGGATAGTTTTGGTTTGTTGCCAGTACAATGAAGAAAGAAAACCCCATCAAAATGATTTTATCTCTTAAAGTCATACACATAGATGGATTATGTTTGTTATAGTTATGGACACAGTCCATCTATTTATATGACTTTAAGATTGTGTTATTTGACAAAACATCTATACCTACAAACACATTTATTAGACACACCATATATACCTACAAACACATTTATTTGACACAACATATAAACCCAAATACACACTCATTTGCCTCAACATAAATCTACAAGCACTTTATTTGACACAAAATATACACCTACAAACACATTTATTTTCCTACCACTGTTACAACAAGAATCTGAAGACATCTTTTTAACATTACTCTAAACTGTTGTCGGAAAACTAGGGTAAATTATCTCCAGTGGGGAAATCTTGGTGGTAATGATGGCTCGATAGACATAAATTTTTTAAATTTTTTTAGGCATAGTTTATGAAATGTTGTCTTTTCTGGCATTACTGAATCTGACCTGTGTAATACTTGAAGCCAAACACACCCAATAACTTGTGGTTACGACTGGCTCGGCAACTAACGCTCACGTCTCGTCTTGCATACGTTACATTTTCCTATTTGCCTATTTTATCTTATGATCAATGTTTCTAGCCCTGTGAGTATGTCCCAAGTACTGTAAACCCTCCCCTCCAAGTACTGTCAACCCCCCCCCCCACCTGTACTCCAAGTGACGCTACTGCTTATACTCAAACCTGTAAGGTATGCCCCCCCAAGAACTATCAACCCCCAAGTACTG